TTCTATCCTCCCTAGTCATTGTCCAACTCTCTGATGCATAACAAGTGATTGCAAAAACCATGGCCTCTATCAGGCGCACATTAGTCTCCAGAGAGACCTATAAGGTACTTTTGCATATCTATCTACATAACTTTCAAATTCTTTTTCAAGTCCAAATGTTGTCAACAGATGAATGAATGGACAAAATGTGATAAGTAAATACAATGGTGTAGTAGTTGTTGTTGTTGTTGTTATGTGTTGTCGAGTCATCTGCAACCCATAAATACTCTATGTACAGCAGCTCTGAACACTGCCCTGTCCTGAGCCAGTCTCATTAATTTCAACACACGAATGAATCCCCATTGCCCCAGTCACTGTATCAATCCATCTCATCCAGGGTCTTCCTCTCCTGTGCTGTCCCTCCACCTTCCAAGCATGATGTCCTTCTTCAGAGACTGGTCTCTCCTGTCCATGTGCCCATGTGAAATGGAGCTTCAAAATCCTGACCTCCAAAGAGGAACCTGGTTTCACCCTCTCCAAGACAGATCTATTTGTTTTCTTGGCAGTCCATGGCATATTCCAGATTCTTTTCCAGCACCACAATTAGAAGTCATCAATTATTCTTCTGTCATCCTTAGTCATTGTCCAGTTCTCTGAAGCATAACAAGTATTAACAAAGATCATGGTCTGAATTAGGTGCACCTTAGTCTCTAGACTGACATCGTTGCTTTTCAGTGTTCTGGAGTTTCCTGACAACCGATTTTCCCAATGCATTTCGTCTTTCGATTTCCTGACTGCTGGTGTTAAAAGTATAGATTGTGGAGCCAAGAAAGCTGTAATTGTTAATCTCAATCTCTTCTCTATCTATCATGGTTCTGCCAATGGGCCCAGTGGTGAGAATCTGTCTTCTTAATGTTAAGCTTCAATCCATATTGAAGACTACAGCCTTGGACCTTCTGCAGCAAGCACTCAGGTCTTCTTCGATTTCAGCAAGCAAGGTTGTTTCATCTGTATAACTTAGGGTGTTGACAAGTCTATGTCCAATCCTGATGACACATTACTCCTCATAAAGACCCACTTCCCGAATGATCTGTTCTGCATATACATTGAAAAGGTATGGAGACAAGATGCATCACTGACACACTCCTTTCCTGACTGATTCATGCAGGTGTTTCCCTGGTCTGTTCTGAGGACTTGACTATGAAGAGAAATAAAGGCTTCATATAAGCCACAGCATGAATAGCTCTTGAAAATATTTACTGTAAAGAGTTAGTAAAAAAGGAATCAATATTGTAAAATACTAATTATAAAAAAACATTTAGACTAGACAAATGTATCAAAATCATTATCAATTCCCATGAGTGAGGTAAAAGGAAGGGGTAGAAGGGTAGTTTTTGCTTTGAAAAGCTGAACCTTTATCAAAGATGTGAGGAAAAACTTGGAAATGGAAAATAGCGATGGCTAAATGACATGTTGAACATATTACTAATAAATTTTACTTGTAAATAGTGCTGAAATGACCAATGGTTTGTAAAAGACATATTGCCCCAATAACATAATCTGTGAATCAACAAGTGAGGTTTATTGTATTTTATTTCTATAGCTGTGAAAAATAACTCAATGAGGAAGAATTTCTCAGTTCCATTTGTGAGCTAACTATATTTTAAAATTAAGTTCTGTCATCTCACTCATCCAATCAATATATTGTTTTAATTTTTATGATCTCTAATATTTTGCTTTTTTGTATAATGAAGAACTAGATCACTTTCTCCAATATTCAGATCAAATATCCTTCTTCAGTCCTTATTCATAGTGACCCTCCATCAGATTTACAAAGCTGTAAATCATCGAGGGAAGGGACTACCACCTTTCTTTTGCAGAGCTGCTGGTGGGGTTGAACCACCAGAGACGCACAGATTACTAGAGACTATGTCATCTGAGTTCCTTAGTTATTATTATTTTTAACATTAAATTATTAAGTTGTTGTTGTTATGTGCCATCGAGTCGTTTGTGACACATAGCGACCCTATGTACAAGAGCCCTAAACACTGTTCCATCCTGTCCCAACCTCGCCATCTCAAACACATTCATTCCCACCACTCCACTCACAGAATCGATCCATCTCATTGAAGGTCTTCCTCTCCTGTGCCATCCCTCCACTCCATGATGTCCCTCTCCAAGGACATACAACGTGCCCAAAGTATGTCAGACGAAGCTTCAGAATCCTTGTTTCCAGGGAACATTCTGGCTTCACCCTCTCCAGGACAAACCTGTTTGTTCTCCTAGCAGTCCATGGTCTATTCAACACTCTTCTCCAGCACCACAACTCAAAGGAATCAATTCTCTTTCTAACATCCCTATTCACTGTCCAACTCTCTGATGCATAGCACGTAATTGCAAAGACTATAGCCTGGATCAGGCACACCTTAATCCCAGCCTGACGGTGTTGCACTTCAGTACTCTTGAGAGGTCCCTCACAGCTGACTTCCCCAATGCAAGTCGTCTCCTGATTTCCTGGCTGCTGTTACCAAGAGTGTAGACTGTGGAGCCAAGCAAACTAAAACTGTTAACTATCTCAATTTCTTCACCATCCATACTGATGCTGCCAATTGGCCCAGTGGTGAGAATCTTTGTTTTCTTGATATTGAGCTTCAATCCATATTGAAGACTGTAGTCCTTGACCTGCAGCAAGCGCTTCAGGTCCTCCTCCGTTTCAGTGAGCAAGGTTGTATCATCTGCATAACGCAGATTGTTGACACATCTTCCACCAATCCTGATGCCACATTCCTCTTTGTACAGCCCAGCATCTTGGATGATCTGTTCTGCATACAGATTGAAAATGTATGGAGACAAAATACATCACTGATGGACCCCTTTCTTGATTTTGAACCATCCAGTGTCTCCCTGTTCTGTTCTGATGACTGCCTCTTGGTCCAAGTATAGGTATCCATTAGCACAGTCAAATGTTCTGGGATTCCCATTCTTCTCAGAGTCAGCCACAGCTTGTTGTGATTCACACAGTCAAAAGCCTTTGCATAGTCAATGAAGCACATTCTTCTGGTATTCTTTATTTTTTGTCAAGATCCATCTTACATTAGCTATAATATCCCTAGTGCCGTGACCTCTTCTAAATCCAGCCTGCACATCTGGCAGTTCTCTGTTAACATATTGTTCCAAACGTTTTTGGATAATTTTCAGTAGAAGCTTGCTTGCATGTGATATTGTGATATTGTTCGTTAATTTCCACACTCTGTTGGGTCACCTTTCTTTGGAATGGAAACAAATATCGATCTCTTCCAGTCAGTTGGCCAGCTGGCTGTCCTCCAGATTTCCTGGCACAACCTAGTGAGCACATCCAGGGCAGCGTCTGTTTGTTGAAATAAATCAATTCGTATGCAGTCAACTCCTGGAGCCTTGTTTTTTGCCATTTCCTTTAGAGCAACTTGAACTTCCTCCTTCATCATCATAGGTTCTTGCTCATATGTTATTTCATGAGATTCCTCTGTGTCAGCCAATTCCTTCTGATACAGTGTCTCTGTGTCCTCCTTCCATCTTCTTTTGATACTTCCTGGATCATTCAACATTCTACCCAAACTATCCTTAAATATTGCCACCCATGGTTTGAATTTGTTTTTCAACTCCTTCAGCTTAAGAAACGCTGAGCGAGTCCAGCCCTTTTGATTTTTTGACTCCAGCTTTCTGCACGTTTCATTGTAGTACCTTGCTTTGTCGTCCTGAGCTGCCTTTTGAAATTTCCTATTCAGCTCTTTGATCTTGACTTCTTCCTTTAGCTTTGGCTTCTCGGTGCTCTAATGCAATACTCAGAGTCTCACCTAACATCCATCTTGGTCTTTTCTTCTTCCTTAGCCTTTGTAATGATCCTTTGAATTCTTCATGGACGATTTTCTTGACCTACCAGTTGCACATGAGAGAAACACGGGCAATCCCCTCTTGTGTGATTAACTGCCCCTGGAAACCCAAAGGAGGATCTGCTATGATTTGTTTCCATCTTGACAGCACACACCATCACTTTTTTGTTTGTTTATATCAAGTTGGTATCTCATTGATTCTTGGAACATATTTTTTGCCAGTACCTTCATCTTTTATATTTTGTAGAAATAATTCAATATTTTATTTCAAGTCTAGTTCTATGATGCTTTTTAAAGAAATCCTATGATGATGCCTAGATCCATCCTTTAACTATTTATAGCAAATTTAGGTTGTTATTATTAGCAAGGACATTTCATTTGTCAAAAACTCAAAAGTAAAAGCAATAGAAATTCAATTGCAGTAAGTACCTTGTCCATAGATTTCTTCACATATCCTAGTACCATCCCAACATTTTCCTTTCATACAGACCCACTGATTCATGTTGCATCGATAACCATCATGAAGATAGAAGTTCTTTGGACAGAAATTAGAGGAACCATTGCAATATTCAGTGAGGTCACATTCATCTTCTGATAACCTACATATTTCTCCTTTTGCTCTAAACTGAGGTAATAAAGAAAATAAAACAGAAAGAATTTACAAGCATCAAAAGTATTATGATTCCATAAATTATATGGCTAGCCCAGAAATAACAGTGTTCTTACTTTACACTGAGTGCAGCAGGGTCCATGAGCACAGACTGCATTTCCTTTTAATTTACATGTTTTATGGTCACAGCATGGATTTCCTTTACACTCCTGAAATGCAAATTAAATGCATTCTACTTGTTTCAAATAAAACTTACTAATGAAGATAAAAATTTTAAATGGAGGTTTAGTACCAAAATGTTTAGCCAAGTTTAACCAAAATTGTTTTACTTGTTTAGGTATTTGATCAGGATATTTATACTATCTGTGAAGTGACCCTGACCACACTGTCTGAACCATGTCCATTCATTATGCCACCTTATCTTAAGAGTGAGTGTAGATCAATCTCTAATTCCTTGTACAGGCTAAATCAAATCAAGGCACAATAAGGGAGAAGATTTATTTTAACTTTTTCCTTGTTTTGGTATTATAAATAGATTCTAATTAATCCAGAAGTTTATCAGAAGGAAGTTCTGGGATATGCTTCAGAAAGTCATCACCTTCAAACCCTTATGTTGCATGATTCCACTCTGCACATACTGAGTCATTATGAGTAGGAAATATAATAATATCTGAAACTTATGTATTTAGTATGCTTCAAAGGGTCTAGTATAATTTATAGGCTTGGTGATTTACTCCTTCTTTAATCTAAACTTGGTTCTGTTCTCTTGGTGGCAACATTCTCCTGAGTCTATAGGAAATTTACTTGAAAAACTTGAGTCTAAAAAAGAATAGCCCCAGTGCACTTACAATTGTACATACACTGATAATTCTTTGACATTTTATAATTACAATACATTGAGTATATCAGGGCTTTAGAAAAAGAGTAATTAGGATAGAATCGTGGTGGTCTAGTGGTAAGAAGTTGCACTGCATTTAAGGCCACCAGCTGCTCTAGAAGAAGGGGGGGGGGTCAGCTAAGACTGTATGGTACACAACAATAACTTAAATACTCAAAAATTTAGAAACTTTCCATCCATATTGAGGGTACTCAGGAATGATCTAGACATTTTATAGAGGAATACTGAATCCATTCTTAGTCCCATTCTTAATCCATCAGTTTTCCCACGTCCATGCCTCTCACGATGAGTTTCATCAACATGTATCTTTAATTTTACCTATCTCTACACTTCAACTCTATACTCCCTTTTTTTCAAATTCAAAAGTTTATTTCATTCAGAGTGGGAAAAATGATCTTGCCTAAGTATGTTTTACTAAAAATATTTTTTTTATTTATATGGTGACATTTATTTGTCACCATATAAATAAAAAATAAAAAAAATCATTGTTTTTGTTCAGACATTCCTCTAGGTCGTATAGACCTGGTGTACAAGTTGCCGTCCCGCGGTCACTTGTGGTTGCTGTGAGGCTGAACCCTGTGACATGGATGTGTCAAATGCGTTAATGGTTAGCTACCCAATGCGGACTGAGAGTGGGGTGCAGCTCCCCGATTGAACAAGCGTGGAAAGAGGAGTAGCGTCCACTTCCATAATAGCTTGCCCCCGGAAACCCTATGAACTTGGAGAGAAGATGAAAGGCACCCAAGCGTCAAGGACTCTCCTTCATAGGGTCGCTATGAGTCGCCTGTGACTCGACGGCACTTAACAACAACAGCAACAACAACAACAACAACATATGGTGACATAGATTGGAATAGCCCAAATCATAAAATTGTGCTATGAGTCACAAGCGACTCAACAGCACATAACAACAAACAACATATTAGGGTGCTCTGGAGGCCTAGTGGCAAGAATCTGTGTTGTAATCCTAAAGGCACATAGTTCAAGGCCACGAGCTGCTCCACGGGAGAAGGATGGACAATTTTCTCCAGTGTGATTAACTGCCTTTGAAAATCCACCAGAGGGTCAGCTATGGGTCAGTTCTGATTCAAGGGTATACAACAACAACAACAATAACATATTTACTATTACCTTTGTGAACAAGTGCTATGCCTACTTTATTGTGGGACAAGGACACAGATTAAAATAAAACACTAAGCTGGTGAAAGGAAACCAGAAGAAGGATAGACTAGACCTCTTAATCCAGAAATAGAGGTAACTGATCTCAGAACAGGGGGATCTGGTATCATAGCCCATAGGGAGGCTGTACTGCTAATGCAAAGGTAGGTGCAACATTTGAATCCACCAGCAGCTCTTTGGAAAAAAATGTGGGCAATCTCCTCCTGTGGTATCATTTATAGCCTCCTAACACAAACGAGAGAGGCAGCTATGATTTGGTTCTGACTCAATGGCAATGAGTGAGAATGGGATCTCAGAATGCAGGTTTACAATGATGCACAGGAATGACTGTCACTGAAACACCTCCTATTTTGGGAGTTAATTTATTATTAATTATTATTATTATTATTATTATTATTATTAGCTTCTCAACACAATAATTAACTCAGCAAAATGGCAGTGAAATACTACTGAAATAATTTTAGTTGTTCAATGAAAAGCTGTCCTATTGTAGAGATTTCTTTTCTTTCAGTACCAACCTCAAGGTGCCCACAGTCACACTGCTCCCCGTCTTCCACAAGTTTATTACCACAACTTGAAGTTTTGTAAGATGGCTCCAGATGTGGCTTATTTTGAAGACACTGAGAAACTGGCTTTGAAATGAAATGTATGAAGTCTTCTATGCTGCAGTTACTGAAGATCTTCACACCACTGGAATGACTAAAATGACATTTTACTGTACATTTTTCTCTAAAACTTCTTCCTATCCACTGTGTAAACTACATGACAATATTCCAATTATATAATATTCAATGTTGTTAAATATTCATAGAAAGTTAACTGTATACAACACTATAAATTCATATTAAATACTCTTTAGTTGGTATAATGAATGAATAAAATTTCCTTAGTTTCCATCTTTCTCTTACTCATGAGTCTGTCCTCTTTGAGTCTTCCTCACTCTAACAGGATTACCTATTTTATTGATTGATTCCTTTTTTTTAATTGTTAAATATTGGAATATCATGACCACAAATCAATATTTACATTTCTTTTGCTTTCTACTTATGTTCACTTTTGTTATATTGTTGTTGTTACCTGTCATCGAGTATGACTCATAGGGACCCTACGAACAAAAGATCTGAACCTCGTTCTATAATTATTATTGTTTCTCTATGTTCATAGAGTTTCCAGAGGCATGTGGTTTAGGAAGTGAATGCCACTCCTTCTTCCAAGTCTGAATCAACGTGGGAGCTCCGCCAAACACTACCCATAATGGGTAACCAGTATGGTGTTTGACACACTTATGGCACAGTGTTCAGCATCAAGTTACTTCAGTACAGCAAATAGACAGACCACAGCTGTACCACTTAAAAGAATGTTACTCCCAAAATCAATTAACACTTGGTCTGACTCGACGGCACTTAAGAACAACAACTGTTATATGAGCGAACCCAATTCTCCAGTTTTAAGTAGTATCTGTATTGTGTCAGTTCAAACATTTCCTCAATCCAAATTTTCCTTGAACAGCAGTTCCTTATATCTTCACTTCTCTACTTAACATTTCTGGCTGGTTATGGCTAACTTATCCCTTAAAATTAGCTTGCCCCATATGAGACTCTCGCCCTTTTTCCCATCAAGACTGTCCCACCTACAAGAGAGCACAATATTTCATACTGCAGACCCTGAAGACTGTCAAATTGCATGAATTCAAATCTTCTCTCTGGCACAGGTTGTAAGGTTTTGAGCAAAATTGCTTAAGCTCTTTACTCAACATTTTCTAATCCTTAATATTAGATGATAAAATTATTTCGTTAATAGATTTGTGATGACTAAGAATATAAGTAAAACACTGAGGCAAGTGACTAGATATAGTTTGTACTCAGTAAGAATTTGCTACTATTATAATTATTCCCCAATTCCTTGAACATGTAGTTTCATTTGTCCACTTATCTAGACCTTACATATTTCAGGTCGACCCTGTATTTCTCATAATCTGTATCCAGTATCTCAGTAAATACTAGAATCTAACTTCTAACTGAATCCAGAATTTGAACACTTTTCCATACAAATAATTTGTTTCCTAAGTTTTGCACCACTAACCCTTTATCTACTCTTTCTAGCCACCCAAACTGACCTCTTTGCTGTTCACACCTTCAAATTGTTGATGTTTGGTATATACTTTGCCTGAAAATATTTATCAACAGAATTAACTCCTTCTGTTCATAACTACACAGTTAGTTAAAGCCTTCTTGACCGTGCTACCAAAGTTAACACATTATTTTATTCCCCCTTGATGCCTCTGAGGGTCATTTTTTTTCTGGCCCCAAAAAATTGCTAAAAATAAATTGTTGAACAAAATTCATCCACAGATGTATTTCTCACTACGTTTCTGTTTCCTACATGCATGCTAGCATAGAGTGAATGTTCAATAAAGAGATGAATAAAAAATAATTAAAAATATTTGTTGTTGTTCGGAGCCCTCAAATCAAGTATGACCCATAGCGACCCTATGAACAACAGATCTTAACCCTGACTCAACCTCGTGCTTTTTGACACACCAGAGACCATTGCAGTAGCCACTATGTCAATCCACATGGTTGAGAATCTTCTTCTCCTCTGCCAGCCTTTCTAAGCATAATGTCCCTCTCCAAGGAATTGACATTGAGCCTCAGTCCATACTGAAGTCTGCAGTCCTTGACCCCCTGCAGTAAGTGCATGAGGTCCTCCTCAGTTTCAGCAAGCAGGGTTGAGTTATCTGCATAACGCAGATTGTTGATCGATCTTCCACCAATCCTAACGCCACACTTCTCCTCATAGAGCCCAGCCTCTCGGATAATCTGCTCTGCATACATGTTGAAAAGGTATGTAGATAGGACACATCCCTGGCGTATGCCTTTCCCAATTTTGAACCATGCAGTGTTTCCTTGCTCTGTTCTGATGACTGCCTCTTGTTCCAAGTATAGGTTTTGCCTTAGAACGATCAAGTGTTCTGGGATTCCCATTCTTTTCAGAGTCAGCCACAGTTTGTTATGATCCACACAGTCAAATGCCTTTGCATAATCAATGAAACACAGATAGACATGGGATGATACCATATAAAAATGATAGAGATTTAAACAGTAGCTTCTATCTATGAGTGAATAAGATTTTCCTTAAATTCTTGACAAAATTTATCCTAAAATTTATCTAAAGAGTGCAGAGATTATCTAACAATATCATTAATATTACAAGCAAGTGGAATATTATTGAAATTTATTAAATAGTGACTAGAACAGTACATCAACAGGCAACTGCCAGAAATTCAAATTGGATTCAAAAGAAGCTGTAGCGCAAAGGATATCACGGTTAATGTCAGACAGATCTTTGCTAAAAGTACAGAATACTGAAAGAGGTCTAGTTATGTTTATTGACTATGTAAAGTCATTTTACTGTGTGGATAATAACATTATGGATAACACTGAGAAAAGTAGGATCCCAAAACATTTAAATGTGCTCACAAGAAACCTATATATGGACTAAGAAGTTGTTCAAGCAGAACAAAGGAACACTGCATGGCTTTAAATCAGGTAAGGTGTGTATCAGGATTGTATATGTTCTAGTCTCTCATTAATTGTACATTTTTCAAACAGAGTGGTAAAATTTAGTCCATAAATGAAAATTAAAAAGTGATATTTGATAATAAAAGATATTGTAGTGTGTATGCAGCATAAACATCAGGGAAAAAGTATTTTGATTGGGGGATGATTGGTCATGATTATTTCATCATTAATTTTTGTTATAGTTTATGCTTCCTTAGTTTACACATACCAAATTTTTCTTCATATGAACTTGAAATGAAAACATCTTACATGGCTTCTGGACTCATTACACAGGCAGCTCCTGAGCAGTGGCATTTATTAATGTCATCAAATGCGATCCCCATACTGAGACCAAGTAACTGAGCTATGATGACTGCAAAGGCTTCCAGGCTTATGGTTGTAGAGTACTAAACACAACAAAGATAGAAATTAATGACAAATTAATGAGTTTCCAAATGGTACAATGAAAAGAGTAATAAAGGGAAGGTGTAGGAATGATGATGAGAATTTAAGACTCTCTGCAGAAAAAGACCATGTACCTAAATGAACTAAGGTCTGGTGATAGATTAAAGTTTTTAATGAAACATTTGCTTTGAATTAGGGTTCAAATTATCAGTACGTTTTCATTCTACTTCACATAAAATAGCAAGTCTTTACATTATAAGCCCTTATAAAAAATTTAGCATGTGATCCTATTTACATACCACAGCACTGTTGTTGTTGCTACATGTTCCCGGAAGATCTGTTCTGCATTTAGATTGAAAAGGTATGAAGATAGGACACATCCCTGGCGTACACTATTCCACATTTTGAAACATGCTATGTTTCCTTGCTCTGTTCTGATGGGTGTCTCCTGGTCCAAGTATAGGTTTTGTATAAGCACATGTAAGAGTTCTCGGATTCCCATTCTTCTCAGAGTTAGCCACAGTTTTTTGTGATCCAGTCAAATGCCTTAAGATATTTAATGAAACTCAGATGGACATTCCTCTGATACTCTCTGCTTTCAGCCAAGATCCATCTAACATTAGCTATAATATCCTTAGTATCACAGCCTCTTCCAAACAGTCTGCACATCTGGCAATTCTCTGTTGACATGCTTTTCGAATCATTTTCATAATAACTATTTATAATATTAATTACAGGAGGCTCTGCTGGCCTACTGGCAATAAGCTTGGCTGCTATTCCAAAGGCACAGGGTTCAAGGCCACCAGCTACCTTGCAGTAGAAGGATGGGCAATCTCCTCCCCTGTGATTAACTGTCCCTAAAAACCTGATGGAGAGTCAGCTCTGGGTTGGTTCCACTTCAGTGGTAGGGTACACAACAACAACAACAACATATAATAACATAATTTCAACAATTATAATAATAATAAAATTAAAAGGTTGTTTTTACTGTATTATAGCTATCAAATTACAGGTACATTTTAGCAAAGAAAACCATACCTACCAGAGCAACACCTCCAGCACTTTTTTTATCACACATCTTCCCTTTTAATGTCGCACCAGCATAGTTAGATTTGTCTCTGTAACTTAATTTAAAAAAAACCCAACACAACACATAATCATATATTTTGTAAAAGTTAACAATTAATATTAAAGTGTAATAGGGCAGTTTGAAACTTTCTTACTGATTCATAACAACACTACAAACAGAACAAAGCCCTTCCCAAACTTGCACCATTTTCATTCTCACGAATTCTAAAGTGTTTTATCTTAAGGTAGAATTTAGTACTTAAGTCCATTGTTGCAATCATTGTGCCTGCAGATCTTCTAGAGAATCATCCTCTTTTTTCAGTGGCCTTCTACTTTTCCAAACATGATGTCTTTTTCCAAGGACTAGCCCCTCTTGATAACATGCCTAAAGTTTTAAGATGGTCTCACTCACTATCCTGGCCTCTCAAGGGAACCCTCTCTTCCGAGACAGATTTGTGTGTCCTTTTGGCAGTCCATCGTATATAATTCAAAGACATAGACTTTTTTTGGGTCTTCTTTATTTACTATCCAATTTTCACAGGTATCTGAATCTACTGATAATAACACAGCTTGGGTTGGGCATAACTTACTCCTTAAAAAAAATCTTTGTTCTTAAAAAGTACTTCTAAAAATCTTTCTGGCAGTATATTTGCCCAATTGCAGCACCTCATAATTTCTAGACTAAGGCAGACTAAGAAGGAGGACTGGCCAACAACTTCTGAAATAATGGATCTTTGAAAATCTTATGAATAGCAGAACATTGCCTGATACAGTGTTGGAAGATGAGCTCTTCAGGTTGGAAGGCACTCAAAATATTAGTGAAGAAGGGTTGCCTCCTCAAAGTGGGCGGTGGTGCTGGGTGGCATCAAATTGGACTTGACAATCCTCCATTGAGTTTTCAGAGGTTGTTAATTACCCAAGAGGAGATTGCTTCTTCCTCATCCTTCTTCCACAGAGCACTGGTATGTTCGAACCACATGCCTTTGGGATTGCAGTGCAACTTCTTAACACTAGGACACCAAAGATCCTACTTCCTTAATGACAACGATGGAGTATAGATTTCAGTCAGTAAAAGGCCATCACTTGGGATGTGGTATGATTAAAAAATGAGGAGAAACAGCTACAAACATCCATCATAATTAGAATACAGAATATACAGAATAGGAAGAAGGTTTAAATCTAGGACAATTGGAATTTTTTTGTTTTTTTTTAAAAAAAGAAAGAGAATAAAAATCTACACGTAAGTATTGTTGTTGTTGTTGTTGATTGCCATCAAGTCAAGCACAACTCACAGTGGCCTTAGGGACCAAAGGGTCTTTGAAGCCTTTCTATAACTATCATTGTTTCTCCAGATTCATAGAGTTTCTAGAGGCATGTGTTTTAGGAAGTAGATGCCACTCCTGCTTCCAAACTTGTCTTAAAACTGGGAGCTCCACCAAACACTCTCCACCATGGGCAGCCATTATGGCATTTGACCCCCAATGATGCAAGATTCAGCTTCCCAGCAAACCCGGATTACCTCGGTACAGCAAATAGAAGAGTGTTGTACAACTTAGAAGAATGCTCCTCCAAAATAGTGACACTGGGCCCTCGGGCCCAATCAAGATTTAAATAGAAGGGCCCTCCATATATATATTTGAACAAAAGAGGAATAAAAGTCCTGAAGCCTTTCTATAACTATTATCATTTCTCCTAGTTCATAGAATTTTCAGAGGGATGTGGTATAGGAAGTGGATGCCACTCCTTATTCCAAACCTGAATCAATCTGGGAGCTCCACCAAACACTACCCATGATGGGTAGGCAATTTTGGTGTTTGACACACCTCTGACACAAGTAGGTGTCCATTATCACAGCAACTGAGTTGAAAAGCTGATATGGACTGGAATTGTCCATTTACATAAAAGGAAGACTTGTTAACAAGACTATTATTCAAATAAACACACCAGTAATTAATTCTAAAGGAGAAATTGAGTACTACTGCATTCTAAAACTGATGGATCATGCAATCAAAGTACACTAGTGTTACGATATAGAAGAATCTAAATTGTACAGTTGGATGACTATATTTTCGCAATTTTAAAAGATTTAATAGCATTAAGTAATAAGATGAAAGAATACTTTCATTGTTCACGTAATTTAGAGAAATTCTATTGAAAGACATTATTGGAAATATTACTTTACATATTTTATAAGAAAACATCATCATGTTAAACTGCATAGAAAAAGTTTCTGCTTCGGTAAGCTGCCATTTGGTAATGAACTTTGAGGGAAGCTGCATATCAAATTTAATAATAGTAGAGCAAATGCTATATCAGGATATGAGGGAGGCTTAATACAAGCTGAAGGTCACCCTGTGGCACTAAGGCGTTCCCTGTTCCCTAATAGTCAACATTGTTCTTAGTTTATATTAACTGAATCCCTCCCTCCTGAGATAAGCATAAAGAGGAACTTGGCCTTATCTGCAAAAGACTTCACCATTATCCTTTGGTTTTGTTTTGTACTTCCTTATGATTTTACTTTGTCTACCTTCCTTATGATGGAACTGCTGGCCCCCTGTTTTTTATGCTCCTTATTCTATCTCATTCCTGGTAGTCTGTCTCATTATTAATAATTATAAAAATACTTTACCCTCAGTCTGCAACAGAATTTATCTTAAAATCATAAGAGCCTCAACTTTATACTTTAATCTCTTCACATTTTCCAACTGAAAACTTAGGCCCATATGCATAAGGAAAAATTTTTATGTCAGTGATTCTGCAAAGCTATATTGTGATATTGGTTTATAGCAATAAAGACTTTACAAAATTAAGTCTAACTAAAATTGAAACTTTTGTTAGGCTTTATAGCAAAATACTCAAGATATTTCAGCTCTCTTAGTACTTTTAAAACTCCTTTTCTCTAATGGTATGTAGGAACTATATACCAGAAACATAAAAAAACAATCTGTGGAACTCAGTCATCAAAGAACATGCACTTTTACTCTTGAACATCCATCCTATTGTTCCAAATTTTTTGGGCTTTTTTGTAAAAAAAAATCATGAAATTTTTGCTCTCTCTCTGTTTCTCAGTTCCTCAATGCCTACGGTAATATGGAAATCCAAGGCGTTCTTCAGAGGGCTTCTGGAAACCTTTTGGGGCAGTTTTACTCAGCTTTATTGGGTCACTATGAGTTGAAACTGATTCAACAGCAATGATTTTAAAGTACTGCCAAGATTTGGTACTTACACAAGTAAGAATGTCACATCATAGGGACGTAAAACAAGATAAGTACTTTTCCAGTTTAAAAATCTATAGAGTAATTCATTAGCATCTCCAGTTACAGGAATTTTATTATTATCTATCCAAAGTTCCAGTGAAGACAAAACTAATGTAATATTAAAAGAAGTGAACATCTAAAATAGAATACACATAGGAAATATGTTCAAATATATTCAGGAATAAAATTCAGAAATGCATACTACAGTAAATATAATAAAACATTATCATAATTAAACATCTTAATTGGAGATCTGTATTGTATACTGTGATATATTTCAGTAAGTTGTAATATCAGTAATAATATTAATGAGTGTTATACTTTATTAAATGTTTGAATCTCACAGACCTCATGACTAGTACTTAATTTTATTTTTCTTTACTCTTATAATAATTTTATATAGTTGTTATTGTTAGTGTCATTGAATTGACTGGGCCTAACTAAATGTGCCTCCAAGCGGCTCCTCTATTCTGTCCCCTCCTCTGGGGGCCCCTGCCAAGTGTGGAGAGGGTCTTAGCCCCTTCAGGAAGCCCCTCTTCTTACTCCCCTACAGACCTTTCTACACACAGCTCTGAAACCTGCCCTATCCTGATCCAGTCTCATTGTTTCTGACACCCCTACTCCCAATACCCTAGCTACTGTGTCAATCCATCTCATTCAGAGTCTTTGTCTCCTATGCTGTTCCTCCACTCATCCAAGCATGATGTCCTTCCCCCAGGACTGGTCCCTCCTGGCCATGTGCCCAAAGGATGCAAGAAGAAGCTTCAAACTCCTTGCCTCCAAGGAGCAACTAAGTTATGTTATTTATTCACATATTACATGTAATAAAATCTAGACCACTGTAGATTATATAAGGAAGACAAACACATACAAAAAGCATTAAAATGGCAAATACTTACTGTACTTGTAAGTTCAATCACCTGGAAAACTTTCTGAGTGACAACAGCTGCATCAGAACCTAAATATTCATACTGAAAAATACAATTATCATTTAGTTCTCAGTCCTCACTGTTTAATGTTTAATAGGTTCTTCTTTTTTTGTTTATAATTTACCTTGATTAGATATAATTTTTTACCATTAGCATTAATTTTAAATTTTTTTAGAATTTAAAAAAAATGTTTATTATTATTATTATTATACTAGTTTATTTATAATATTAGAATACATTGTTTTTCAGAATAACTGGAGGGAATTATGCTGAGTGAACTAACTTAATCCCACAGGGACAAATATAGCATAAAACTATTATTGTAGAATGAATATAAGGATTCAAGGAGGGGGAGGGTGGAAGTAGAAGGATGAGGATGTACAGGGGGAGGGGTTGTGCAATTGGAAATAGAAAACTGTAACTACATCAACATGCAAATGATATATATACTATACCACAGATTGCAAAAAAATCAAACAAACATAGTGGAAGGAGTACATCTTCTTTGGGCATGTTATCACAAAGGATTAGTATCTCAAGAAGGATACCATACTTAGGAAAGTAGAGTGTCAAGGAAAGAGAGAAAGATCTGCAGCAAGGTGATTTATTGACACAGTGACTGCAGCAAGGGGTTTAACCACAGCAGAGATTATTAAGATGGCACAGGAAAAGGAAGAGTATTTTTTTTCTGTTGTATATATGGTTGCTGTGAGTTGAATCCGACTTGGCTTCGCCTTCCATTGTTTCCTATGCATCTGAAAGTTGGACAATGAATAAGGATGACAAAAGAAGAGTTTATGTCTTTGAATTTTCAGAGAGGAGTACTAAAGACTCTCAAACAGATGGGTTGACATACTGCAGCAACGTGCTCAAGTGTCACAGAGATGGGGGTCATTATAAGTTGTACTTAACTTGAGGCTAGGTAACAACATGATACCAAACAGCTTCATTTCCCTTCCCTCCATTGCCAGCTCTGGTTGCCTAGTGGTCAGGAATTGTGCCGCCAACCCAAAGGCACAAACATTTGAATCTGCTGACTGTTGGATTGGAGAATTCTCTTTCTCTTATCTGCAGTCTCCTCCTGAGTGATTAACTGTCTCTGAAAAGCCACAGGAGGGTCAGCTATGAATAGGTTCAGACTTGATTCATAACAAACAACAATAAAATGAGCTTGAGAGCATATGCTCTAGTCTTATATCCTTTTCCTTGCTGGGCACCACTGTGGATCCAAGACGAATCCAGGTGGCCACCTCTAGATACAACACAGTTCAATTCTCTTATAAATTTCCCAAAACAAAAGATGTCTTCCAATCCACTTTTCCATCTTTCTATGAACACTTAAACTGGTGGAATCTCCTTTCTGAATTTGAATTGCAATGTTATCTTCGCCCTGCCCCCCAGGATCTGTCAGCATTCTCTTTAATGATGTCCTGGATGTTTAATTGCCCCTCCACCTTATTTCCTCATCATAATTTAGAGTAATTGTCAATCATTTGAATTTATGTAGGAAGTTTTTTAGTGTAGTGCTGATCTAATGGGTAACATCCTTATTTTGTGAACCCAAAATAAAACATAAACAGTCTTCCCAGTATCCTGGAAAAGCTACAACCAGGAGAAGATAACATAGATGAATGGGACCTTCTAAGACTCAAATCCCTATGCACATCC